CGGCCTCTCCTTCCGGCCCCAGAGCCAGAACTCTCTTTCTTCCGCAGTGTTCCCTGCAAAGCTACTGGTTTGTGCCTTTGCCAAGGCACCGACCGTGTGGACGGTGCGTTAAATGTTGCCTGGAGAGCTGACCTGGGGCCCCTTACCAACCCCGCATGTTTGTGCTGCAGCTCTGGCCGTGCTGGCAGCCAGGGTGCGGGGTCTTCACAGAGAGACCCCAAGCACCTAACAGACAGTCAAGGAGGTGCCCAGGACTTGGGGTTACGTGGATCCTCGTGCCCCAGGGAGCGGGAAATGGGTTTGGAGGGAAGGGAGCATCTGTGAGGACCGTGAACTAGTCCTCCCCGTGGAGAAAACAGTTTTGTTGCAACGATAGCTTCCTTAAAAACTTTAAAAAATTTGTGCATGAGCTCATTCATGCAGAAGGAACCACACAGCTACCTGGAGGTGTTCACAGGCAGCGCCGGCTTAATCCTGCATGTGTGTATGGACACGGATGTGGATTCTGCACCCGGCAAACTGCGTGTGCACATGAAGCGTAACGGCCAAGCAGGTTGTCGTGGTTTTCCCGGTGTGCGGAGTTCCGTTAGGGGTGGCAGTGCCCGGTGAGCCTGGTGCCCTGTGGTGAGCCCTCTGTGTCTGCTGGTCACACTTACTCTCGTGTCCGCTGCCCTGATGACCGCCTGCCAGCTCTGACCTGCATAGGAGTGCTTCCAGAGCCAGGACCTTTACCCTCACCTCACTCTGCGGGTGGACAGGCACTGCAGACGAGGAGCCTGGGACGTGGGCAGGGCCCGGCCTCCCCAAAACCATGGCCAGTGCGTTGCAGAGCTGCCCAGAGCACGGGGCTTCCCACTGTCCCACACCTGCCTCCTTCTGCTCTTTTTTTTTAGTTGCCTTTTAATTTAAGGGAAGTGATGCTGGTTTCCGTTTATGGCTCTAATCTTGCTTGTTTTACAATATGTATTTACTTAAATAAAATAACTGGTTTTCCTCTTTTCGACCTTGGTGTGAATGGCATGTAAGAATGTGTGCCCCCTGCACAACCGGCCGTGGGGTTCAAGTTCTCCCCTTCTGCCCTGACAGCGCAGCGGCCGGGACGGCAGTGCCCGTCCCTCCTCGGTGGGACGGCACCGGGCTGTGATGACCGGGGCAGTGTGGGCACGTACACATGGGCTCTGACGGATGCCAGGCTCGTCCCCAGCGGCCGCAAGTCCTGGGTGGGGGTCCTGTTTCACTGGGCGCTGTCCTTGCCGAGCCCTGCCCGCTCTGGCCTGCACCCCTTGGGGTGGACCAGTGGCCACAGCTCTGATCTGACCCTGCCTGACCCCCTGCCAGGGTGTCATTTCTGGGGGCGACCTGTGTCTGCCCTTCTCCACTGCTGAGGTGTCCCAGCCCTGCAGCAGCGTCCGGCTCACGGGCAGGAGGAGTGGGTGACGGCCTGCCGGATGGAACAGAGGGAGGGTGTCGTGTTCCCGGGGGGCACATGGCCCCGGCCCGGGAGGCGGCCCTGCAGCGAGGGCGTCCTCCATGCTTCTCCGGGTCCTGGCCCCCATGGGCGGGGCTGTGTCTTCCTGCCTCTCGGGGCTCCATCGTCACCTGACCCAGCAGGGGGACTCCAGGCCCGCGGCTTGGGGTCAGCGCCGGGCTGGAGGGGCCGCTTGGTGGGGGAGTGGGCAGCCCAGAGGTCCTGCTTCGATGAGCATATTCACCTCAACCTCGACTGGTTTCCTGTCTTACAGAAGTCACACTTGCCTGTTGTAGAAACCAAGACGTTGATTTGGGTTTCAATTTTGTGGAAAAATTAGAAAAACCAAAAGCGTGAAAGGAAAGCGGGTCTCATACTCCAGCCCCCCCCCCCCCCCCCCGGCAGTGCCGTTTTCTCGGCGTCCTCCTGGGCCCATTCCTGTGTGGCCCGGTTTATTTTTAGAGTTGGGTTAGAATCGGTAAGTGACAAATCTGGGGACTATGGTCTCGAGTTCTGGCAAGGATGCTCTTCCAGCCCCGGATCCCAGCTCTCAATCCCCTTAGGATGTCTGTCCCTTCACGGCCGTCTGGGAACCGAGCTCGGAGCCCGGCTGTTTCCAGGCCTGGGGACAGTTCGCCCCCCCCGGAAGACCGGCTGCCGCGTCAGGAAACGCTGGGCCTGTGGGTGGGACGGCCCCCACCGTCTGGTCCGTCAGCCGCCCCCACCCCCGCCGCCCTGAGGCCTGGCGGCCGTGCCCAGGTTGGGTGGCAAGGCCCGTCCCAGGGCAGGACTCCCTCAGTCCTGCCGGTTACCCCAGCACGTTGGGGTGGGGGTGACGGTGTCTCAGCCTCGGCTGCTGTAACAAAGAGCCCCCAGCACACTGCAGCGCGGGCACAGGGGTGGCCTGGGCTCATCACGGAAACCCCTGGTGCGTGGCTCTGCCGCTTGTGGCCTTTCCGTCTCATGGCCCCACAGCCCCTTGGCACCCGTGGCCGAGTGCCCCAGTCGAGGCTGGGCTGCCAGCACGCGGGAAGGGACCCCAGGACGTGGGAGCGCCGGGCCGGAGCCTGCCCAGTGTTCACCCTGGGTTCACCCTCGCGCCGTCCAGCCTGGAGGGCGGGTGTCAGGCCGGTCAGGCGCTCACGTGTCCTCCGTGTCCACGTGCCAGTCACAGGTTGAAGAGGTGCGTCCGTCTCCGTGGAAGTAGGTTTCATGGCAACCAACCTGTCGTCGACCATAAGGCGGGCTGGCGTGTGTGTGACCAGGAGAGAGAGGCCAGTGACCACAGGAAACGCCCCTGGTGCCGGAGAAGACAGAGGGTGGGGAGGTGTCTGCGCAGGGCCCCGGTGGGCAGACAAATGAGAAACGGACGTTGGTTGGCCCACCTGAGCCTGTGCCTGCCCCTCCTGCCCGCTGAACCCCAGCCCGCAGCGCCTCCCCCGAGTGAGCACTCAGCAGTCGGCTAGACCCCCACCCCCAGCAGTGAGTGAGGCGAGCACGTGACCTGCCCTGGCCAGTGAGATGTGAGGAGAGGCTGCTGAGCGCTCCCAGGTTTTCCTGCTGATGGCAAGGGGGAGGCATTTGGTGACTCCTGGAAGCAGCCCCTGTGCCACCGCAAGGACCTGACCAAGGCCGCTGGAGCAGGAGGCGAGGACAAGCCTGGGGCAGAGACGTCTCCGGGCCGCTGAGCAGCCGGCCCTGCAGCCTCCCGACAGCCTTCGGGTTCTTCGGGAGGGCGGTCGCCCTTGGGTGCGCTGAGACGCCTCCGATTGGGTTTTCTGGGCTCTGGGGCTCAAGTACCTAATCAGACGCTCGAAGCCTGGAGTTTCACTGAGTAAGAACCGGAGACTTCAGTTCCGTTCCTGAGGTCCTGAAGAGAAAAATGATCCAAGTGTAAAATGGAAAATTGTCCAAGATGAGAATGAAAGCCACGTGCGTCATATGCGTAAAAAGTCAGGAAAGTGAATGATAGTTCGGTCAACGCGACGTTGTGTCAAGAAAACCACTGCCGCCCCCCCGACCTGACCGCCCTCCGCTCCAGTTTTGCCTCCTGGTCTCCCGGCAGCGGCTCCAGGGAGTCCAGGTGACCAGCCCACGTCTCACTGCCGAGTGACACCCCCCTCAGCCAGTGTCCCGACGTGGGCCGTGGGGCCCGGGAAGACCTGGCCTGGAGGACAGAGCGGGGACGGTGTGGGGAGCAGCGGGGCCGTTCTGGTTCGTGGGGCCCAGGACCCAGCTCCTCTCCGTAGGGTCAGCAAGGGACCACGTGTTCAGCCGGCCCTGCCCCTCTGCCTGGGTCTGTGGGCGCCCAGACCAGGGAGCGCTCCTGGCCGGCCGGGCGGGTGCAGACGGTCTGTTGTTTACAGGCCCTGCTCTGTCCGTCCGCCTGCCTCATGAACATCCCGGACGCTGCAGCCGAGTGGCTCGGTGGCCGGAGTGGGGGCCAGTGTGGGGGCCCCCACGGGTGGCCAGAGAGTCCAGGCACGGTGGGCACAGGCAGGGTCTCTTGGCCGTCTCTCGCAGACCGGGTGGAGGGAGTTACTCATTAGCGCGGGCACGGCCGGGCCAGCGCTTGTGAGGCGAGTCTGGGTGAGCGAAGCCCACCTGGGAACGAACGGCTTGTTCCTGCGGCCAGGGCAGTGGGTGTCGGCCGTCCAGGCCAGGGACGTTCCTGCACAGTGGGGGCCGGGCCCCAGGCCCTGTGGGTGCGGGGGCCCCCCAGTGCTGAAGCACCCTGGTCCTCTGGGCCTCAGACGCCTCGCGCCCCACCCCCCGCAAGGGGAAGCCGTGGAGACGAAGGGGACCCGTCTGAGCGGCCCTTGAGACCCACTGCACGGAGACACGGTTAATGGACGCTCGCGGCTAGTCCTCATGCAGCTGAGGGGCGTGCAGGGAAGATTCTGGGTTCTGGACGGGACCTGCCCCCGGGGCCCCCAACGGCAGGTGAAGGGGCCGTGGGCTCTGAACGCACCGGTGCCGGGACGTGGCTGCCGTGGCCGCAGCCCCACCGCCGGGGGCCCCGCCAAGCGGCTCTGCCCACCCCTGTGTTAATCATTGAGCCCCAGTGTCTGCAGGCACCCCCATCTGGGGGCTGGGGGGCCACATCGCTTGACGGGTGCATGACCCCGAGACCGCGCTCTTCCCGCTTGGCGCTCTGTCCTTGAGACTTAAGCCAGGGTCGGCTCGGAGCAGCGCTGGCCTTGGCAGTGCCTCCCGGTTCTGCCAGCTCCCCGCCTGCAGGCAGACGGTTCAGGGCAGGAGTGGGCTTCAGAGGATGGTGGTCTCGGGGTGTGGCTCCCAGACCCCATGCCTTTCTGTCCCTGAGGGGAAGACAGGGTGTTCACTTTGGAAGAGGGGGGCTGTGGGAGGGAGCCAGTGGGAGGGGGATCCGGGGCAGGGACCCTCACAGGTGACCCCTCACATGTGGCCCTTTGCTGGGTAACACCCCCACATGGTGACCTTGGCGCCTCCCCCTCCCCCCGCTGCCCCGACTCCAGCTGGCCGACCCTCACGTGTCCCTTGGTGTCCACAGGGCACAGCCTCAGTCCTCCAGCGCCGGTCCCCACAGGAGGAGTACGTGGAGGTGGGGCGCCTCGGGCCCTCTGACTACTTTGGTGAGTGGGCTGGGGTCCGCTCCCTCCTGGGTTGGCGGCCGTCTCCCCGGGGCCCCCACAGGGGCCGTGGGAATCCCGGCTGAGGTCCTGGGCGTGGGCTGACCGGGGCGGGCGGGCCCAGCTGTGTTTGAGTTTCAGGTGAACAGGGAGCGCCTGTTAGCCTGCGTATGTCCCGGGGCCCCTGGGCATGCGCGCTCAGAGGCGGCCAAGCGTCCCAGGGCCTGGCCTCGTCCCTCAATCTGCAGCCTCCCCGAGGCCGGGCCCTGATGCTCTCTTCCGCCACCAGGGGAGATCGCGCTGCTGCTGAACCGGGCCCGGGCGGCAACCGTGGTGGCGCGGGGCCCCTGAAGTGCGTGAAGCTGGACGGCCCCGCTTTGAGCGCGTGCTGGGCCCCTGCTCCGAGATCCTCAAGAGGAACATCCAGCGTTACAACAGCTTCATCTCCCTCACCGTCTGAGCCCGCTTGCCCACCCGCGCGCCCAGCACTGCGCCTGGCTACCCCGCCTCCAGCTCACTTCGGATAAAGATCACCTTGTGCCCTGGAAGGCCAGGCCAGGAGGTGCAGCCACCCTCCCCTGTGCCCCCCCTCCATCTGCCACAGGCTTGTCCTGGGGGACCCACCCTGCTCCCCAGGTCCTCGGGAGACGCAGGGGGATGCCCACCCCCCGGGGACCGGCTGTGCGGTCCAGTCGGGCCAGGAACTGCTCAGTGCCCGGGCTTGGGGACGTGAGGCCGCCTGTTCTGCAGCCGAGTGCGGGACGATGACATCCCAGGGGGACCCCGCAGGCACCCTTGAGAAGTTTGGGTGAGAAGTTGAGGCTAGAAAGAGAGGATCCAGGCCCCTCCCTCAAACACTTGCCCCCCAGAGGGTCCTCCCAAGACGCCAGGGTTGGGGGAAGCCAGTCCCGGCCTCAGAGGAAGGTGGCTCCAGGCTCCCATGGAACGTTTCGGGGAGTGGGCTCGGTCCTCACCTTTCCTGGAGAGCTGGGAGCTCTGACCCTTACACCCGAGTCAGGACAGAGACGCCCAGGGAGGGAGGGAAACCCCATGAGAGTTCGGGACTTTCCGGGGTGCAGTGAGACCTGTTCTCTCCAAGTGGGGGTGTCCCCAGACAGCACTGCCATCCCCTTCTTTGTACAGCGGCTTCTTGGAGGCCCTGGGAGGAAGTGGAGAGATTTGCTAAAACATATCCTGGATAGAGTGGTCAGAACCAGGGCCCTGGGAGTCGCTTTTCAGCAGATACACCTCCTGCTGAACAGGGTGAGTCCAGCTGCCCTGGGCCCCACACGGCTATGTCGTCAACCGACTGAATGCCCCTTGACAGCATCTTCCGTCCCACCCTAACGTGAGCTGGAGAGGCCTGGGGTCGGTGCCTCGTGAGACTTCCGGGGACCTGACGTGCGAAGGAAATGGCGCCTCTAGCCGCCCGTACACATCCAGAGAGGCTGCCGGTTTGCGGTGCCCCTGGCCAGCCTGCCTTCACCCATGATGCTTCTGTGACTTGTCAGCCCCGCCCCGTTTATCACAATGTTCTGAACGCTGCATGTACTATTAAACGTGCAATGAGCGAACTCGGGGTTTTGGTCTGAGATATTTACTAGCAGGTTTTCTCCTTTTGGTTTTAGTGATGTAAAATAATCCACACATAAACTTGTGATCCTGACCGTTTCTAAGCGCACAGCTCAGTGGTGTCGGTCACATTCACGCTGTTGTGCACCCTCACCCCCACATCGCCTCAAACTGACTGTCCCGGTAAACATGGTCTCCCGCTCCCCCAGCCCCCGGCCCCGCCCCCTGCTTCCTGTCTCTGTGACTGACTCCTCCAGGGACTCACAGAAGGGCGGTCACACGGTGTCTGTCCCTCTGTGCCTGTCTGGCTTATGTCACTGAGCACCGTGTCCTCGACGTCCGTCCACGCTGCAGCAGGCGTCAGAGTCTCCCTCCTTTTCATGGCTGAATCAGAGTCCGGTGTGTGGATGGACCCTTTTCTTTATCCGTCCACCCGTCGATGTCGATGGACCCTTGGGTTGTAAGCCTCCCTCACGGCCCTGACTATGACGAGTTCGCGGTTCCCTCGGGGGCAGCAGGGCTGAGCGCTGGGAGGAAGGAAGCAGGACCTGGGCCCACCCCAGGCAGTGAGGGCAGGTTCTAAGCGGTGACTCGGGAGAGGGTGGCGAAGAGGAACACTTGTGGTCTGACCCTCGTGTCCAGACTTCGGGACCAGGGCTGGAGAGGGGATGCAGGGAGGGAGGCAGAGTCCAGGAGGAGAGAGGAAACCACGCCTCGGCTCAGGGTGGTGGACAGCCACGGCCAGGGAACGCGGTGCCTCTCGGAGCCGGGGAAGGCAGAGGCGGGCCTCCCAGGGCCTCCCGAGGGAACCAGCCCCCGGAGCGTTTCAGGGTCCAGCCCCAGGCCGTGGGGTAAGGTGATACCCTGAGCTGCTCTGAGTGGCTGAGTCTGGGGTGTTTTGTTACAGCAGCGCAGGACACTCACACAGACACTGGGACTGGAACTGAGCTCCGCCCACTTGGGCGCGGGCTTGCCCCCCGCGCTGTGCGTCTTGGAACTTGGGGCTCCCCTCCCTGAGCTGGGGTGCAGTGACCAGGCAAGCACCCCCTCGGAGGGCAGGCTCTGGCCCCTCTGCCTGCGCGGCGAGGGCTCGGGGACCACGGTGGGACCACGGTGGGACGAAGCCAGGGCGTGCTGCCCGCTGTGGGGGGCGTGGCCAGAGCGGCGTCTTCCCCAGCTGGGCGCTGGGCCTGCTCCCTCTGGCGCCAGGCGGCACAGACCCGGTCTTGTGGGCTCGTGAAAGCGTGCTTGTGTCCTCCTGAGACTACAGGCCAGGGGATTGTTCTGCCCCATCGCGGTCCCCAGGGCGGTGCCAGGGGCGCCGTGCGGGAGGGGACGCTGGGACTGGGTCCACGCAGACAGAGCTGGGCACTCGCTCCCCCCCAGCCTCGGTCCCTGGGAGGCTCACTCCTCTGGGGGCTGATATGGACACCCCGTCCCACCCGGGGCAGCTTCTGGGGAAGGGGGTCAGGGTGTGGCCAGACGAGGGCAGGTGTGGTTCTTACTCACTTATCTGTGGGTCCCAGGACCTCTTGGGGCTGGACACTCAGTTGGACCCAGTAAACATTCGAATAATAAATAGAAGTGAGTAAGCCAGGGGTTGCAGGAGGGCTGTCTGCGGGATTCAGGCTCCAGATTCCACAGGCCAGAAGAAAAGAAACTTTGATCAAAGTCTCATACCTTCTACAAAAATGAACTTAAAGTGGCTCACAGACTTACTCGTAAACATAAAACCATAAAACTTTCAGGAAAACACACAGGAGAAAATCTTCAGAATCTTGGGCCAAGCGAGTTGTTCTGAGACTCGACACCCAAAGCCATAAAAGTGCAATCGGATAAATTGGAATTCCTGAAATTAAAAACGCCTGCCCTGCTACACAGCCCGCAAGGAAGAGGAAAGGGGAGAAGGAGCCATCAAACCACACGCCCGCAGGGGACCGTGCCCAGAGCACGTGGAGCGCCCTCAGCAGCAGGCAAGTCACCAGCCCGGCCGGGACGCGGACGGCCCTTCCCAAGGAAGGTGCACAGACGGCGGCGACCCCCAGGAAGGCGCTGACTCACGGGCACCGGGACACGAGACGAAGCCACGGTGAGCCGGCTCCGCACGCATCACAAAGCCTGAGACAGGACGTGGCAGCAACACCCAGTGCGGGCGGGGAGGCGGGGATCAGGGTGGCTCACACGTGGCCCTGGGGGTGCGAAACGGTGCGGCCACTCTGGCTAGAAGTGGATTCTTTAAAAAAGCAAAAGCTGACACCAAACTTGCAGCCACCATTGGACGCTGCCCCTGCAGCTTGGACGCTTGCGCTGGGGAAACGCAGCCTGGCTCCCACAGAAACCCGCACAGGGGGCCTCACAGAGGGTTTGTGCACAGAACCAGAGGCACCCAACGTCCTGCGGTGGGCGTGCAGCCGAGCACGCGGCCCCCACGCCCCTGAGACTGCTCAGCGTGCAGCGGCTCCGACTGCTGACGAGCGACCGCAGGGTGGATCTCCAGAGAGCTATGCGAGTGGAAACCCCACCCCAAAAGGTCACCCAGTGTGACTCCACGTACATAACATCCTTGAAGTGACAAACAGAAATGGAGCAGGTCTCCGGTGGAGGTGGGGGGAGCAGGAGGGCCCTGCCTTGAGGGGACGCCCCGCGTCTCGGTTGGACCAACACCCAGACCCCGGGAGCCTGGGCGAGGTCCCGCACCAGAGTTCTGGGAGACATCATCCCAGGGTGGGGGGACTGGGCACAGGGTGCTCCGAGCCCTCTGTGTCTTGCTGTTGAAAGGGAGGGAGAGGCTGGGAGCAGTATGGGAAATTGGGGCCGGTGGAGTGTAGGGGGAGACCCTGGAAGGAGTCTGGGTTCCACTAGAAGGCGCAGAGGACCTGCTGGAGATGTGGGGCCCCGGGCCAGTCTGCTCCATGCTGTGGAAGGTCCGTCGGTAGCACAGGACCGAGGGCGGCAGGTGAAGTGAGCAGCCAGGACGACCCCATGGGTTTTACGGGGCGGGCGGCATTCCTGGGACGGGACAGGCGGGAGCAGAGGGGATGCCCAGGGATTAGCCAGCCCTCACATCCAAGCAGCACCCCTCTCTGCCCCAGCCCCTGGACCCACACAGACCTCCGCCACTAGCTGCGTGGCCTCGACGAGCCCCTGGACATCTCTGGACCCCACCCATCCCTCTCTGCAGTAGCCTAGGAATTCACCCCCAGTACAGCTGGAAGAACCCAGTGGGCCCGAAGACCCTCACTGACGTGGGGTGGGCTCAGGCGGGGCTGAGGCCGGGGCTGGGCCAAGTGGATGGGGAGCGCTGGAGGATTCCAGAAAAAGTGAGGGGCTGCCCCGGGCGTGGTCCACGTGCCCATTCATTCCCTCTGCGGGCTCTGTGCTCTGTTCACGGCCCTCCCTGGCGGTGGGCAGCCTTTCCCTGGCATCTGGAGCTCTGGCCAGAGGATCTGGAGGACAGAAGCCAGCAGATGCCCACTGGGGCCCCTGTCCAGCTCTGCCCACCACGGGCCTCGGGTCCCTGTGCCTCTCCCAGCCTCAGCTCCCCATCTGTAAGATGAGGGTAACAGCCCCAAAGTGTGGAGAAGTGAGGCCCCAGGCATCCTGCACGGTGTCCTGGCCCACACACCCTGCTGGGCGAGCCGGGCCATCAGTGCCGACAGTGCCCTGGACGGCCCAGCCTCACCTCACCCCATCGGTGGCTGAATCAGCCTGGCGGTGGTGACTCACTTTGAGGTCCGGTACTTCCCTCCCAGCCCCTGGCTGCCTGGCTGGGGCCTGGGGGAGGGGGCTCCTTGTGGGCAACCCTCGGGGTGGGGGCCCGTTGGTGTGGGTGAGCAGAGGCCCTGCAGGCCACAGGGGCTCTGGTCCCTGAGACGCAGATCCAGACGGATCCCTGGGGTCTGCCCTGTCCGAGTGCGGCTCATCCCATGCCCTGCCGGGAAGCCTGCCCTCATGCCACCGACCACGCTGACCTCTCTCCCCTCTCTGACCTCTCTCTCCTCTCTCTCTCTCTCTCTCTCTCTCTCTCTCTCTCTCTCTCGCCTCCTGGGTGTGACCCAGTTAGGGCATCTGTGACTCACTTCTCTGCTCCAGCCCCACCCCCGGGCGGCCAAGCATCTCCCCTCTTCCAGGACTCATCTAGTCTGGCTCTAACTTGGGCTCCAAGTGCAGGAAGGCCATCTTAGGCTCTCAGTCTTGGGGGGCCACCTAGGCCCTCAGAACCTCTTCATGGGCATTCTTAACAAAGGTAGATCTGGCATGAATACAGTGGATTCTTACATGTACATGCAGGCCATTTATTCAGCCACAGAGAAGGCCACTGAGTTTGTCTCGGCTGCTCCCAGCAGGGGGTCCACCCTGGACTGATGTGGGGTCTGCCTCTCGGCAGAGCCCCATGGTATTCCACCGTAGACATCCCTTCCAGGTCAGACTGTGAGCCCCCTTACCAACCTCACTGATCAAACGTTCCTTTTACTTTGGCAGTTGGTGAAATCATGCTGGTGCGTGTGTTTCAGGAACGTGCCGGACGAGGAACCAGGCAGCCCCTGACCTCCTGGGCCCTGGGGCGTCAGGGCTGGTGTCTGGTGTGCTGGGTACAGCACGGACCCAGAAGTACAACGACCTGATTTGCCCCCAGTCCTGGTCCTGTTTCGTACAATCTCTGTGCTGTCAGGCGAGTCCCTTCACCTGGGCCTTGGCCATCCCGTCCACAGACGGGGAGGCGTAACACTTGCCTCCTGGGATTAGCTGTGCCTGAGAGGTGGGGTCGCGTGAGTAACGCCCCTCAGCACGGGGCCTGGCGCGGAGGAAACCGGCAGAGATTGGAGCTGTTGCTACAGACTACCCAACCGCGTCTGGGTGCCACCCAGGCCCTGGCGCTGCCCAGACAGGGGGCCACGGTGCCTTGCATTCACATCCCCTGCCTCGAGCTGGGCCTGGCCGGCTCCTCTCCCTGACCGCCCTCCAGGGCAGCTGCGGGCCCCCTCCCGGGTGTGCCAGCTGG